AATATATATAATACATAATTAATTTTATATATGTATAATTTAAATGTCTAATGTAATAAATAGTGTATTTGCATTATTTTTGAAAGTTGATGCATGATAAATTGTATAAGAATAAATAACGCAATGAATCTAGACACATTTTTTATTATATATAACATGACGTATTTTTTTTTAATATGATTTATTAAGTGACGTGGTAGCATTGCTGCAACAGTGTATAAAAATATAAAACAGGTGTAAAAAATATAAAACTGCTTGACCATTTGACATGTGAAAATCATTATTCGTGCCGTTGCCAATTTGCGACGATCCATCATCAATTAAATTTATTTGGAGTTTTGGCATCAACAAAGTTGAGATTAAATTATTTCAGAAACTAAAATCGCAATAAAAAATCTAAAAACACTTTTATTATAATGGCATTATCCATATATTTCGCTTGAAAAAGGAAGGAAGAAAGGAATCTCCTCTGTGGGTGGCTTGATGGCAGCGTGCGTAACATTGACATTGATTGTCGTGTCGTTTCCGTTCCGATATCGCGGATCGCGATAGTAAAATGTGAAAGGAAGCGGAAAAGGTATGATCGTAATGGGATTAATGGCACGCCTTATTATCGAACATGAAAAATCTTTCACGCACATCCTATTACTGGCTCAGTAAACAAAGTATGTCATGAGAAATGATCAATGCAAGTAAGATAAGTCTACAGGGTTTTTATATTATAATATCATGATATTCTAGCTTCATTAATATTCGATTATTTATATGTATGCAGAAACTTGGAAAGAATATATTAAATTTTAATATAAATTATCATTATTATGCTTTCCACAGAATTAAATATTTAAAAGAATTCATGTATTATATTTTTTTTTTGGAGGGGAAGAAATGTAACTTTCAGTAGTTTATTTATTGAGTGTTATCAATTGCTTTTAAAATTAAAATTGATAAGCTTGTGCGTGAATATCGGATGACTTATTCTCTGTTGCATTAAAATCGATTAATCATCATAAATTCAAGGTTTTCGTCGTCGAATCTCCTTAAAAAGATTTAGGACGAGGACATGAATGCATATGCTTGCCCGCGAAATTATGAACAAATTCTTTAGAGAGAAGAGCTATTTTTGTTATGCGCGCGTCTATTTGATCTAAAGTCGTATTCCATATTCAGTAATTCAATCTGCAATTCATTACAGAATCGTCAAGCAGTATCATGAGAAAAAAATGTCGATTGTTTCTCGTGTTTATGTTTATTTTTCAAACTATTAATTCTTCCATATGTAAAAAACTAGGAATTTTCTAAAATTGCTTAAAATTTTTCATTACAGTTGTGTGATATTATACAAATAAATTTTCTCAACCAAACTTTTTATTTTGCTTTTAATTATCTATAATTATTTTTTTCATTGAGAAATGTGATAAAGAAGTGTCTTTGAGATTCATAAGGTCAGTATGTATAAGTACGTTTATATGATAATTAAAATAATTAGGTCAATGTGATGGTAGAAACCGGATAAATGTAATACTGTTATTCCTTCCGAAAGTAATTGTCATCGTTTTTAATCATTTTATGACGATTGTTATCATTGGCACATGTCTGCCGCACAATTTTGCGCCAAACCAATTTAAAAAACACTTTTAATTAAAGGGATGGATTCCGTGAGGTATTACAGAAGAATCTCGTGGAAAAATATTTGTTTACAAGTTCCTTACTTTTCTTATCCATTGTTAACTTTATCTCGATTTTTTTCATTCACATCGCTAAATAATTCCAAGGGATATGTTATTTATTCGCTTATTTAAGGTGTAAAAAGAATCGCAATGTGGGAGCATCCTTTTACTTGCGTCGTCTAAAAATATGTCGCGTATATATGTGGAGGCATCGAGACGCCAAGGCGTTCTCGAGTTACCGTGGCGAAACGACATGCGTTTTTAATCAGCAATGGATAAATATACACAAAATTATCTTTTAATATCTCGCATACGTCACATCGGACGTCTAATGAGTGGATATTGATTGCGCTTACATCGTGCGAAATACATAGTGCACTGCACTACAATGTGTATAATTAACGTGGCTGTGCTGATTATCGCTTGTATTTCTTATACAAGTATCACTCGAGCTAATTAATGTCAAGTTTCGACTTCAAGTTTTGCGATCGAATTTTACATATCTGTAAATGGATTCTCTTTACTTGTGTCGTTACTACATAAGAAATTATCTTTCAGCTATACTAAAATGCACGATGTAAATGTAACTCTGCATTGACATTCACTGATAGTGCCATTTCAATTTTAATATTCACTACTACACGTTTTCATCCAAGGCTGCACGTCTGACACGCCATGTCTTATCTTTACGCGGAATATCGTCGGCATGAAAATGCATGTCGAACAAAAGAACGGGAAACATATTCGCGTGAAACGAGCGAAATTGAACGTTATGGACTAAGACAAATATTTCTGGATCATGTCGTAACTCGTGATATATCTCTCGCAATTCTCTTCGTGACCCGCAGTCTCTCAATAATTGCAGCAAATAAAGTTAAAGCAATAACGTGGGAAGCACAAATACGTTTTATGCGCTCTATTGCTTTGCTCTCCGCTTCTGTTCAATTTAATTTGTTCAGGGAATACCTTTCTATATGCATATTATATTCACGCGAAAGTTTTACACGCTGTTCATGCATGTCATACCTATATTATCGATATCACTCTAAAATAGTCAGGGTTATGAATATTAATTCTGTGAAAGATGTAAGTCGGTCGCACGAGTCTCATAAATTTACATTACGATTTGGATTATATACAATTGTGGATTATGTACAATTGTAGATTATATACAATTAGAATGAATTACGGCTACTTTGCAAATAACGGCACGACCGCATCGAATTGCAATGACGTAATATGCGCGAAAACGCGAAAATTCGCGATCTGCAACGTGACTTAGCAATTCGCGTGGATAGAAAACGGATTTGTGCCAATCTCGATTTGGATTCGAGGTAACTTTTCTACAATTCGACGTACCTTTACATGATATGACGATAGCTTTGCCCAATTCACTTGCGTTTACGATTTGCACAATTCGGCGAAGCGATTTTACAATTCGCTGCTACTGCTAAGAAATCGAGTCAATTCACTAGTGCGCAGTTAATGAAACTCGTTCGTACCTGATCTGTTCGGTGAAAGTTCTCTGAGCTTGCTTTGATTGCAGTTTTTCAACAGAGCTAATTTATGAGTTGACAATTATTCTTTTTATTTGTTTATTTAGTGGGTAATAAGCAAATTGTTATTCAAACTGATGTTTTACATAAACTTCAGGTAATAGTATACTTTCGATAATTTTTTAGGAAAAAATATGAAGGATAAAAAATTATTTTGAAATGTAAATCATATGATGTGATAAATTATATGGAACAGAATTCAAATCTCCTGAGGGGAAAAATGGGATATCAGAAAATTTATTTATATTAAAAAGAGATAATTTCGCAACGATGAGGGAAAAAGCTTTTCAAGATAATAAGCTGTTGAGTCGATTGGTTTCGGTTTACGCTTTTACATTGACGTCAAGCTTGCACGTTCGCTCCGATTTGATCGGATCATCAATTATTGCTCTATCCGGTCGATCGTACCGCCTAACTTCCCGTTTCTCTTCGCCGACGATTCTAAACACGTTCTTTTATGATGCGGAATTCAATGATCATATTTATTATAATATCTATCTATTAAAAGAATTGTTTACAACTTTAATCATTTAAATATGTTTTGTGAGTTAATCGTAATAGGCGATACAATCAAAAAAATAGATTCTATAAAAAAAATAAATAAAAATATAAAATGAAATTTCTTCATATTTTCTGATTTTTTGAAAAGAAAATTTTGTATAAAATAACAATAACAAGTTGCGATATCAAAATGACATTAAAATAAATCATAATGATTAAAAACTTATTTTTAGTAATCATATCAAAATCATTTTGATGTTATGATGACTCATGTTATATAAAAAGATAATTTCGGAATCATATCTGTTTTGTTATTAAATTGTAACTCCAGAGTAAGCGGAATATGTTAAAAAAGCACAAAAAGTAAATTGATTGAAAAATATACGCATGATAGTAAATTGCTCGTTTCAGCGAAAAATCCTGATAACGAATTTAGTGTGAATGAATTGTGAAAAGTTTGTCTCGTGCCACTTTTGCCCCCGAACTGTCCATTAATCGCGCCGCGGCTATCGCGAACGTAGAAATCGAGGTTAATCCGCGTTTCATGGCACTGATCTCGGACACCAGCGATGGGCTTGACGTTGACGCATCGGTTAAATGGACACCCGATCCCCTCGAAGGGAATCACTCTCGGTGAGCCTGTGTGAACCGGAGACAATGCACGAATGCAACACAGTCATATGTCAGAGATTTATGTCATGTACGTGTCATAGATTGGTTCTAGTCATCATTCAATAATCAGTCGTAGTATCGTAATTGCAACGCTAGCTCAAGGATAAATTGAGACAAGTTCTTTCGTTTGTGAATGATATGTACATACAGAACGTATCTCTCTCTGCTTAAGATACGAATGGATTATAAGTTTGTACTATTGAATTAAAAAATATTGTCTCTAAAAATTTGACTCATATAAAAGAAATTACTTCAATCCATTAAAAATTGATTCTAAATTTATTTTCTTTCGTGATGTCACCGAATTTATTTATTTTCTAAATTCTTGAAATTATTCAAAATTTATTAGCAAATTTCAAATTAAATTTGTTAATGTAATTTTTTTATTTCGGAAAGATGAGGAAAGATTAAAATAATACTTTTCAAGATTTCGACGTCATAACGAGAATTCGCTTTTTCTTCTATTTCAGTCGACTCTTACTACAGTTATGCCGGGTGGAATGGCAAGTCGTCATTTGATCATTACATTTCGAATATCAGACTGATCGATGGTAAGAATGTAGAGAGGGTACGTCGAGAGATGCCTGAAAAATTGGTGATGACGACTGAAAAAGAAATATCTAAGAATCAACCACCAGCACAGCCGCAACCACAGCAGCAGCAGCAACCACAGCAGCAACAGGAGCAACTGAAGCAGCAGCAACCGCAACAGCAACAGCAGCAGCCGCAACAAGCGTCAGCAACACAATCGATGTCAAACACAACCAACGCATCCGCCGACGTAACGTATTCTACAGTTTATTCGACCAGCGAAGCCACCACCATCACCTCCACTGTTCGGCCATCTGATCCTATTTCCAGCTCCAAGCCGGATTCTTCAAAAAAGAAAACGTCGCAGATAGTAAATCCTGCAACCGATACGGTAGGTGTCATCAGTAATGGATTTATTCAGTCATTTTTAGATTCGCGCGTGATGCGAAAAGTTGCAAATTACGTATAATCATCACTGTTTAACAATTGTGCATCCATTTGAAACCTGTTCGCAGGCAACATTACACATATGGACAAATCGCACTCTGACAAATCGCAATATAACCGGTACTAGCAAGGAGCAGCAGCCGGAATCATCGGCGGTGAAGGACACAACAGAAGATGTCATGAAATCCGACGACAGCGATATTTCCTTTAACAAATTTTCCGATGTGACTAACGCCACGCTTACACAAAACAACATCACTAAAACGATGTACGACTCGCATCAGTATTATAACAGCACTTTTATCGTCGATACCGATATCTGCAAAAAATATTGGGTCGACATGGACAATCATCCGGATCTTAGAGTCAATCATCTACTTAGCCAGAGCCATCGACGCGCCGCGGTGAGACTCACTTGTCATTATTTTGTATTATAGCGACTTTCTTGTAAAAAATTAAAAATGATATAGAATATACTATGTACTCGATTTTTTTAGATTTTATATAATAACCAAAGAAAAAGGCGATATACAAATACAAATATGTATACATTCGGAATATTTGATTCCTGTTATAGCAAAAGATTATTTAAAACAAGAAAAAAATGATTTTGCTGAAATATCTAAGACTTAGCTAGATTAGATACAGGTTTAAAAATAAATTTTGTTGAACTAGCAAAATAATTATGTAGAATTAGTTGCTAGAATGTTAAAACTTTTTGCAGCATTGCAATTATGAATTTTCTATTACAATTATTTTGATGATTCATGAAATTGTTTTTTGATATGTATTTATCTAATACAAATTCGTTCTTTCCGTGAACTTATAAGAAATATACGAGAACAGTTAATCATTAATCCTTACAAGTCTGGATAGGAATTGAACTATGATTTCTATGCTGTTACAGACCGTTAAGTTGAAGTTTGATTTCCCATTCTACGGCTATAATGTGCGCAATATTACTATCGCTACGGGAGGTTTTCTATACACCGGTGACTACGTACACAGTTGGCTGGCCGCCACCCAGTACATTGCACCGCTCATGGCAAATTTCGATACCCGCCTGTCGAACGCCAGTTACGTCAAATACGCTGACAATGGTGAGTCATCTCGGAATCTCGAATGGATGGCATTTTCATGCCACTTGAAGGAGTCTTACATTTCCCTCCGAACGAAAGTCAATCATCAGAACCCATTATGGTCGAGCCACTTAAGAGGTTCTTCGTATGTTTACCGTGGCTAATATATTTCAAATAATCTACGTTCAAAAATTAAAAAAAATCCTATTATGATGAGCAAATTCTCTCATTTCTCTAATTTCGCATGCTTTTCAAAACGTTTGATAGTCTTCTCAAGTCCCAAGCTGATTTTCTAAATCCTTTCTCCTCGCTGGATTGATCATGTCGCAAAGCGTTCGCGTCAGTAGTGATCAGCAACCTTTGTGGGAAGCGGAGAATGAAAGAGGAAGGATAAATCGGCGCAACGATTTGCCGATCGTAATTACACGCCTCATCAAATAACCAGTGGCAAAGAAACGTGGCACAAAACGTAGTCAGAGTCGTGCACGGATCTCAACGCGAGATTGTTAAATCCTCTTTTTCATTTGTACGACAGGTACGGCGTTTACGGTGGAATGGGAGAAGGTTGTACTACAGGACAGGCCAAGAGCCGGCGCGTTCACTTTCCAAGTGACCTTGCATCAAAACGGAGATATCGTATTCGTCTACTCAGTGATACCGGTCCTGGTTGAAAAAATCGCAGACACAATGCATCCCGTCAAAGTGGGCCTCAGTGATGCCTACATTATGGACCGAACTGTGTTCTGTGAGTGTTTTCTTGCTTATTATCTAATTTTCCTGTTTATTCATTGGATACATGATTGCATCGTGGAATAATATCTTATCATTATTGATCATCGGATGTAGAAAAACC